TTTTTTTATTTTTGGTGATACATTTCTTTAATTAGGATATATACCTCAAGATAATTCACCTTTTGAAAATATTTATATCCGGCATAAGTATAAATGGCATAGATAGAATAATGCACTAAATCACTTAATATAATATTGCAGTACTAGATCTAATGATTTAATACAAAATATTTATTTTTTAATTCATTTTATTTTATTTGTGAACATACTGTACAGAGGGGTTACAATTACATGGGCAGGATAATGAGTACATTTCTTACCAAGCATTGCAACCTCCTCCTTTGTTTATCCTTCACATCCCTTCCCAGCCACACCCCTCCCCCCCCAGTCCTAATCCTACCCTCCTCCCCCCACCAACATTGTAAAGCTCCTTTTCGACATGACAACTTGTACTTCTCATTGTTGCAACAGGTCCACCTGTATCCTTAAACGACTTCTTTTTCCCCATCTCCTCCACAAGTTATACTGACATCAAATATAGTGAAAGCAGGGGTTATACTGTGGGGGAGGGACATACAAAGCAACAAAGAAATCATCTTATAAATGCGTTAGAAGCACATGCATGAAAGAAAAAAAACATTAAAATACATATCTAAGGGTTCATTTTCTTAACATCACATTATCTGACCTTTTCCGCTTGACTCATACATACACTAGATACTGCAAATAAGGGAAACCATGGGACCTATGTTTCTTTGGGCCTGGCTTACTTCGCTTAATATAATTTTGTCCAAGTCTTTAAATTCCTAACAAGTGGGGCAATGTCATTCTTTCTGATGGAGGCATAGAATTCCATTGTGTATATATACCACATTTTCTTGATCCATTCATCTACTGAGGGGCATCTGGGTTGGTTCCAGATCTTAGCTATGGTAAATAATGCTGCAATAAACATAGTTGTGCTGGTAGCTTTAGTGTGGTCTTGTTTGTAAATATTTGGGTAAATGCCCAAAAGTGGGATTGCTGGGTCATAGGGGAGCTCTATATGGAGTCTTTTGAAGAACCTCCATACTGCTTTCCAAAGTGGTTGAACAAGTTTACACTCCCACCAACAATGTAGTAAGTTTCCCTTCTTTCCACATCCCCTCCAGCATCTGTTGTTATTAGAGTTCTTGATTTTTGCCATTCTAACTGGGGTGATGTGATATCTCAATGTTGTTTTGATTTGCATTTCTTTTATGGCTAGAGAGTTTGAACATTTCTTCATGTGTCTATTGGCCATCCTTCTTTCTTCTTCAGAGAAGTTTCTCTTTAAGTCTTTCTCCTACTTGTTTATTGGGCAGTTGTTTCTTTGAGGATTTGTTGTTGGGGGATTTAATTTTTTGAGTTCCAAGTATATTTTAGATATGAGACCCTTGTCTGTTGTATGGCTAGTAAAGATCTTCTCCCAATCCGTGGGCTTTCTATTGTTCTTGCTAGCTATGTCCTTTGCCATGTAGAAGCTCTGCAACTTTATGCAATCCCATTTGTCCAACCTTTCTTTGATTTGTTGTGTTTCCAGGTCTCCATTCAGAAAATTTCGGCCTGAGCCAAGGAGACCTAGGGTTTCTCCTATTCCATCTTGTAATGCTTTCAGAGTGTCTGCTTTGACTTGGAGGTCTTTGATCCATTTGGAGTTGATTCTGGTGCAGGGTGATATATAAGGATCTAGCTTTAGTTATCTACAAGTAGTTAACCAATTTTGCCACCACCATTTACTGAAGAGGCTGTCTTTGTTCAATTAACATCATGAAAATGGCAATGCTTCCCAAGGTTATCTACAAATTCAACGCGATACCTATCAAAATTCCAACCTCATTCTTCAAGGAAATAGAAGAGGCAATCCAAAAATTCATATGGAACAATAAAAGACCCCAAATAGCAAAAACGCTCCTCAACAGAAAGAACACTGCTGGAGGAATATCAATACCAAATTTCAAACTCTACTATAAAGCCATAGTAATCAAAACAGCTTGGTATTGGCATAAGAACAGACCTCAGGACCAACGGAATAGAACTGAAAACCCAGAAATGATCCTTCATTTGTAATAACAATACTATGGCTAGAATATTCTTAGCAAAGGATCACAATAGCTCAATAGCTATGTGCATAAGACCATATAAAATTATGGGTATCAAAATGAACATTAAGAAATGGAATTTTTTGTTAGTATATTGTTTGCAGTTTTTTTTTCTTCCTCCTCCACCCCCTTTGTTTTATTCCCTGTTGTCACTGATTTTGATTTATGTAACTTTTTCTTGTATATAAGTTTATCTGGTTTGGGGAAGGGAGAGAAGTCACAGAAAAGTTGGGACAAAATGTGAACCAAAGCAACTGTGATACTCACTAGATACTGTGTCAGAAATTAAATTTACAATTTTTCAGGGGAGGAGAGTTGGGAGAATGAAGAAAATAAGGGGGAGAAATAACACCTTTCAAAAAGAAATGTACTCATGCCAGTCACTGGTGGATCAGGCCTGTATTCCTAGCTACTCAAGAGGCTGATATCTGAGGATTGTGGTTCAAACCCAACCCAAACAGGAAAGTCCGTGAAACTCTTACCTCCAATAAAACACCTGAAAACCGAAAGTTGCAATGTGGCTCAAGTGGTAGACTGCTTCCTTGAGCTGAAGAGCTCATGGACAGTGCTCAGGCCCAGAGTTCAATCTCTATGACTGACAAAAAAAGAAAAAGAAAAGAAAGAAAGAAATATACTCATGACCTTACTTATACAACTGTAACTCCACAGAAATATGGTGTATATACACAATGGAATTCTATGCCTCCATCAGAAGGAATGACATCACCCCATTTGTTAGAAAATGGAAAGACTTGGAAAAAATTATATTAAGTGAAGTAAGCCAGGCCCAAAGAAACATAAGTCCCATGGTTTCCCTTATTTGCAATAACTAGTATATGTTTGAGTCAAGCAGAAAAGGTCAGATAAGTTGATGTTAGGGAAATGAACCCCAAGATAAGTATTCAAATGTTTTTTTTTCTTCCTTTCGTGCAATTGTTTCTAACATATTTATAAGATGATTTCTTTGTTTCTTTGTATGTCTCTCCACCATGGTATAACCCATGCTTTTACTATATTTGATGTCCGTATAATTTGTGGAGGGGAAGGGAAAAACAATCGTTTAACTAGGGATACAGGTAGACCCATTGCAACAATGAGATGTACAAGGCGTTATGTGGATAGGGTGGAGGGAGAGGAGGATTATGGGAAGGGATGGGAAGGGGAAACAAAAAGGAGGCAACAATGCTTGATAAGAAATGTACTCGTTATTTTGCCCATGTAATTGTAATTCCTCTGTACGGTATTCTCACAATAAAAATAAACAAAAAATAAGAAGTTTCTGAAACTTTTAAAAAATATTCTTCCTAATATTGAAATGCCTTTATGTATTTTTTCATTGTCTCTGTACTTTGCAGTATTGCTGAATTGCTCCATTGGTACTACTTTTATATTTAGAGGAATGAGACATAGGAATAGAAGAAAAAAGTGTCTCTAAAATATCATATTGTAGCTGGGTGTCAATGGCTCTGGCCTATGATCTTAACTTCTCTAAAGGCTGAGATCTGAGGATCTCTGCTCAGTCAGACAAATGTGAAATTAACTAGCAAGAAGACAGAAGGGGAGGTGTGAATCAAATGATAGCAGGCCAGTCTTAAGTGGAAAAGCTAAATAAGGGCCCTCAAACAAAGAAAAGCATAGTTTGATATCAAGGCTTCCATTTCAAAGGGGATAAAGATTTATTGAATTAAAATGAATAGGAAAATGTAAAGAAAAAATTGTTAACAGCTCCAGAGATGTTCTTTTAAAAATAATTTTCCTGGAGACAGGCAATATAAAGACGACAGAGAGCTGAGGACAGACTGCTTAGAATCATAATCTCAGACTATAAAAAGTGCTAAGAACAAACCAGGTGTTGGTGGCTCATGCCTGTAATCTTAGCTACTCAGGAGGCTGAGATCTGAGGATCATTGTTCAAAGCCAGCCCGGGCAGGAAAGTCCAATAAACCACTAGAAAACCAGAAGTGGCACTGTGGCTCAAGCAGTAGAATGCTTGCCTAGAGCTGAAAAGCACAGGAACAGCACCCAAACCCAGAGTTCAAGACCCACGACCAACAAAATGAACAGAGATTTTCCTATAGTTAGTTTTCTGTGAGAGTCTTGGCCATAGGAGATGGTAGACATGATTAGCTTCTCTGGTCATTGCACAATTGGGGAGTGATTGCAGGACTGTAGTAACTTCCTGGCCACAGTTGACTTGACCAGGAAGCAGAAAATGTCTAGTCAAGCCAACGAATCACCATTCTTTCTTAGTAATTGTGGAAAAGAACCTGAGTCAGTCTACTTTGTGTACAAGGATTGTAGTATGTAAAATTGAAAATGGCAATTCATATATATTATATTACAATGTATACGTGACAATAAATCTGAAAACAAAGATGTCATTATAATACTAAGAAATCACTAATCATTATGTAAATATATATGAGTAAATAATTTATCATAGAAGCGTATCTATTACATTAACATGCATAACAATGTTGCTAGACTTCATCGCCAGCCTATACAATGAAACAAAAAATCAAAGGGAATTCAAAAGTGAGTTTGAGTGTCATGCCAGCCCACACACACAAAAATTCATATTTATTATAGAGAAATTTGAAAATACAGAAAAGACTAATAGAATAAATTCCCTTTAATATGAAAAATACTACTATTACCATATGGAGTGCATTTCTATATAATTTCTACTTTGTGTATGAATGTGATTTTTGTGTGTGGATCCAATTAAGCTCATACACAAAAAACTTTTGCCTAAAATATAACTTCCATATTCTTTTAATGTATTTGTTTCTATTTATACTAGGAAATGATCCTGAAAAAATAATAACACTTTTACATATCCAGAGCCGTAATTCCCAAATACTAATGCTACATGATATCAAAATACCTCTTGATACCTTATATAAGTATGTGTGTGTGCTTTCAATGTCTTATCCATAGAAAATGATACCATCTATTGGACTGATATGGGCTTCAATAAAATCAGTCGAACTAAAAGAGATCAGACTTGGAAAGAAGATATCATTACAAATGGCTTGGGAAGAGTGGAAGGGATAGCAATTGACTGGATTGCTGGTAAACTTTTCTCTTTTTCACTTCACATCTATTGTGTTAGAGATTCAGTCAGCTTTATAAAAATTCTGGCTCTGACTTCTAACAAGTTTTTAAAATTTCTAGCCAACGGGGTAAATAGACACTTTTTCTTTTGGTGCTACTCTTTCTAATGCTTTTGAGCCATTCGATATGTGTTTTTATGTGGAAGTAGATGATGTAGTGTTAACTTTGCCTCGCTCTCCTGAGAGATCCGTAAAGCAGGTAAACAAAATGTTAGAAGTTTTCTTTTGCCTGCTGTCAGTATGAAGTTATAAAGGATCTCTTCAGTTGAGGACAGACGTTTCACCTTATTTTTGGCATATTAATTTTTGAAGAGAAATTTAATCCTATTTTTAATATACGAATGTACAATGATGTGGGTTTGGCTAGAAATATATGAGATTAATCTTGGTAACTCTTGAACATTTTTAAAATTTACAACTTCCTGATTAGAGAGTACACAACAAAGTATGTAGGGAGTAGACTATTTATTGGTAGTTATGTGAATACTCAGAAGTTTAATTTTATCCATAACTAATAAGCAATGTTCATCCTCACAACTGTATTATAAACACTCTGTATTCTTCCAGGTAACATATATTGGACAGATCATGGTTTCAACTTAATTGAAGTTGCAAGACTCAATGGCTCTTTTCGTTATGTAATTATTTCCCATGGCCTGGATCAACCACGATCTATAGCTGTGCACCCAGAGAAAGGGTAATTATGGATTCACATAATTTATTTGAGTCCTACATGTATTTGCTTAAGTTTTATTATAAAACTAGTGCAGACAACCATAGTAATATTTCTCTTTAGCTATAATATCTAAAACAAAACTCAAAAGAAAGCCTGGTGCCAGTGGCTCAGGACTGGAAATCTTACCTACTCAGGATGTTGAGATCTGAGGATTGCTATTTGAAGCCAATTCTGGAAGTTCTTGAAATCCCTACAAAATGCTGGAAGTGGATCTCGAGCTCAAAGCATGAGAGAACTAGCCTTGAGCAACAAAAGCTCAGGAACAGCACATAAGCTCTGAATTCAAGCTCCCGGCTTAGCATCAAAAACAAAACAAAATAAAACAACAAACAAACAAAAAAACACAAGAAAGAAGTTCATTTTCATTTAGCTCCTGTGTATTTTAGTGGAAATTGCAAAAAATTTAGAGTTATTATGAATTTCTGAGTGTATATAAATCCAAATAAGAGCATTGATAGTTTTCCACATTGTCCAAGGTTTGCCCTAGCTCTTCAGATAATTAGTGAACAGCCATTTGACATCAAACTTATTGATCAGGATTTCCAAAAGTCCAGTGACAATTTGTGTATATTTGGTTAACAAACTAACATGCTTATCATTAGAGCATTTTTATTGTTCCTCACTTTTTTTTCATTTTTATGTTCTAGATAAGTACATCTACCAATCTAATTTTCATTTTAATTTAGAAGTTTCATTGGACTCCAAACTATACTCACATGTATATGTATTTGGAAAGAACTCAACCTACCACTATCACTAAGTTCTGGTGGTTTTTGTTGTTATTTTTTTGTTTTTTTTTTTGGTGGTTTTTTTTTGACTAAATAGTTCTATGACCATTCTTCTACTGTGGATTTTCACTGTCTACATTCTAATTAAGTCTGGTATTACCATGTCCATTTGTGTTCACTTCCCACTAGGGCTTCCAACCTCACCAAAGGCTAGAGTAAAATTAAATTAAAATATGAATCTGCTCATGTCAAATGTTTCAAGGAATTCCTGTCATCTTTTATATAAAGTCTATAATTGCTATTTTGTTCCTTCTTAATCAAGTCTTCTAACACCTATTATTCTCTTAGTTTTTGTTTTTTTTCCAACCAATCTCAGAAGTACTATTATTAGTATTTCAAATATTTGTTTCTTTTTTCATTCTGCTCCATTGCCAAGCTTATATATTAAGTTTTTATACTAAGTTTATATTAAGATTTTAGAAATTATATCTCACTACTCTGGTAATGTATTTTGTTCTTCACTAGATACTATCTCTAGAAGAGCCAAGTGTGATTTTGGGTTTACTTTCCTATTCTTAGGGTTATTGCAATAACAGTTAAAAAACAGTGAAAGCTGGCTGATAATCACTTTTCTCCAAAAAATAGTATTGAAGTTTTCTTTATGGTAATTCTTATATTTTCCCTCTGACTGTTTTTCTTACCTTGATATTGTGACACAAATCAACAGTGTTTAAAGGGGAAATCATTTTTATTAAAGGAATGTTGATTTTGGAATTAAAGAAAAATGAATATACTATGGTCAAACAAAAAGTAGATTAGATATATAGTTGTAAACAACACTTACTTAGAATAAAGACTAGCTAAAGCAGTGTATGAAAACTAGCAACATTCCCAAGTTTTTGAATGTTATGTGCAGTTTTTGCAATATTATCACTCATTATGCTTTCTTAGTAAATGTCACACGATTAAATGAGTTTGATAGTGTAGAGTATAAGGAAATAAAGTATGTTAATATAGTACAAAGGTTATATCCAGTGCATGCCAGTTTGCAATATATAAAATAATATGCAAAAGATGTATTAAAAAGAATATATTATTCATTTTTTTCAAGTCTGTAAATAGATAGTTGTTAATAATGATTCAATTAATTTCCAAGATGGTTTAATTATTTTTAACCACTATCTTCACTATCTTTTTTTTGTCTTCATATTTACAGTGGTATTATAACATATTGACACATACCAGGGAGCATGTCTGCATTTAAGTAGGGAGTAGAGCATAATAAAAATAAAGCTAAGTTTTACCTAGGAGTAAGGAAACATTAGTATTAATCTCTTTATTTTTGCTTATCCTGAAGTGACTTTATGCCTGTTTTTTAATTAATCAACAGTCAAATGGCAGAGATTATCTTAACATAGTTAGATAAATTATAATTTATCATTCAAAGCTGAGTTAACATCCTAGGCCAAAGAATATACAAGTAATATATGAATAGGCTGCTTGTATTAATAAGAGACCTCTTAAAGCATTGGTATTCAAAGAGATCTGCAAGGTGGCAATCTTTGTGATTGCTATAGTTCACTGGTCAGCCCAAGTTACTCTTCCTTTTACTGTTTTTTGTTGTTTGTTTGTTTTGTTTTGTTTTGTTGTCTCTGAGTTCCAAATATTTGAATTCCTTGCGACTCAGTTTTGTTTCAGCTCTCTTCTTCATTTGTTGGTCTCATTTTATCTAAATCCTTTAAACTCTAAAATGAATATATTCACAGACTATTACCACAAGTCAAAATTCTAGATTTTGTTCATTTTGGAAGTATTCAGGCTTAAAATTGGGACCTTAGTAGTGCTCACCTTCTAGGCAGGTGCTATACCACTTGAGACACATCTCAGATTGTATTATAATATTTTATGTTATAATAATTATTTTGTATTATAACTATTGTTTAAGACTGTACAATAAATGATGAGAGTAGATGAGATCATCCAAAAAAGAGGAAAGGAAGAAGCAATTAGGGACAAAATGCAGAATGGTGGTGGTTATTGAGGAAATGTTTGAGACAAAGGAAATATATTAAATGTAAAGCAAATGAGCAGGACAGAGGGAGTGGTGGGAAAAGGAGAGAGTCAGACAGACAGAAAGAGGGAGTGATGGTAGGATGGAGGGAAGCCAAACATTCTCAGTCTGAAACCTGTAACTCCAAGGAAGAAAAATAAACAACCATAGAGAGCTCAGTGAATAGCACAGCATAGAAGACACAATTTTTGATTATGCTGATGTTGCTTCTGGTGTCATTTTCTGGGATTTGATGGGTAAGGGGAGATATTAACTAAAAATATTTAATAGTAAGAGATAATTAGAAACTGAAGCTAGCAAACACAGAAGCAGACAAAATCTTGAGCAATAAATTGAATCTACAGTAGAGTGTGGAGAATTTTTCTTCACACAGAATTTTTTCATACAAGCTGGGGTCGGTGGCTCATGATTTCAGATATTCACATGAGCCGGGCACCGGTGGCTCACATATGTAATCCTAGCTACTCAGGAGGCTGAGATCTGAGGATCGAGGTTCAAAGCCAGCCTGGGCAGAAAAGTCTGTGAGACTCTTACCTTCAATAAACCATCAGAAAACCAGAAGCGACACTGTGGCTCAAGTGGTAGAGTGCTAGCCTTGAGCTGAAGAGCTTAGGGACGACCGACCAAAAAAAAAAATAAAATTTCTTCACACAGACCCTCCACATACTCATAGAAGAGTAGAAGGAAATGACACAAAGGAAGAGACACAAAATTAATATAAAGAGAAGACAAAAATGAGAGAGTTCAGGGAGAGCCTTGATAAATGAGAAACAATAGAATGGAATAGGAAGGCAGGAGATAGAAATGTTTACTTTTGAAGTAATTTGAGAAGTGATCTACACTCACTGTCTCGGCATTTATTGGCTATTCAGGTTCTATACACAGATGTTTCCAAACAGTCATAAACTAATATAGTTGTTTTTATTTGCATTTTTTTTATTTTTTTCAGGTTTTATACCAATTACCTTCTGCTGGAAAATTTCTTTCATTGACTCTCCATCCATTCCTTTCCTCTATTAATCTGTTTTTATTCTCTCTCTCCTCTCTGTATCTGTCTCTGTCTCTCTCTCGCTCTCTTTCTCTCTGTGTTACAACAGCAACTAAAATTTTCATGTTTCTACAATATTTCTTCAATCTTCAAATCTTGTCATTTCCACTTTCCAGGAATCTCTTGGCCAGATTTTCTTTCTTTCTTTAAAAAAACAATAATTGTAAAGGTGACGAACAGGAGGATTACAGTTACATAACTAATGTAATGAGTACATTTTTAAAACACTGATAGCCCCTCCATCATTTTCCCCCACTTACCACAGCCCACTCCTCCCTTCTGGTCAGATTTTCAATACCTCTCCATTGGCACACAGTTCAGCAAAAACTCAATAGCAAGATCTTAGTGCATATTTTTAATTCCCTAATTTTTAGCCCATGAAACAGACATATTATAATCAAAAATAAAGAAATATTTTACATTTGTAATAATATGTAACTATTATTTACCTGTATATCCACACTTAAATATTGTCTCGTACACAAATATGTTCCATGTTGACAGTTAAGAATAGATATTGCAATTTAAAAGGCATGTTTATTTGTAGGATGTATGTATCAATATTTTTAAATATTAGTTGTAAAGGCCCCCTTATGATTTGTACATCTGGTTATTGACTTGTTTTTAGAGGGAAAAATGCCTACCAATGCATAGTCTGCATAAAATATTTCAAAAATTGATTTCCACATAGGATTACATAGAAATTTCAGTGCTGAAATTCATATCATAGGCATAAAGTACAGCATTTTAATATTCCATTTGATGTTAAAGCATGGCAAGTTGTATTACCCTGGGAAAAGGTGACTCATAATGGAGTCAATTAGCTGTATCCAAGATATAAATGTGCCTTGAACAGTGGGCATGGTGCCTGCTTTCAAACAATAGAGGCATGAAGTTTTAAAATGTAGCCAAATGCAAAATAGAAACCATGCGTGAATTTAGTTCAGCTTGAAAAATCAGTTTCCCTCCTCCATTGACTTTCCCTTCCTTTTTGATTAGACATCACTTTCTTTTTGAAAAACTAAACGTAATAATTTTCTTTAAGCTAAAAAATTATTTTCTACTAGCAGCAAAAGCAGAAAAGTCATATTGTGATACTGAAAAAAATTGGTTAAGCCCTTATGATGCATGCCACCAAGTGGAATAAATACTGTGTAGTATCCTTTCTATTAAGGAACAGCTAATAATAAGTTACTAAAAATATTTTTTTTCCATGACAAAGACTCCGATTGTCATATGTTAGTAGACTGATTATGTATATTCACTCAGTATATTATTTTACTACTCATTAAGTGTATTTGAATGCAGATTAATATTAGCAATGAGTTCATTACATATAATATGCATACATTTAATATTTCAATTATTTTAAATAAGACCAGTTTGCTGAAACTCACATTAAATTTTTAAAAATTGTGGCTGTTATGCATGTATAGATTTTTTTCATGACTTATTTATTAAGGGTTTGCCAATAAAATCCTCATTGAATTTCTGGCTAAAAAATTTTCCCTTCTGATATATAGGATTTGTAAATACTAAAGGAAGAATCTTCAGGATTAATATATTTGGATTTCAAGCCACACCTCAAGTTTTACCTGTTGTAAATTTCTGAAATATTTATTTTATATAACATTTTTCAGAAAAAAATATGTTAAATCAAAACAGTAATTAAAGAGAATACATATATTTTAGGTAGATTAAGTTTGCTTATGGTCAAATATTAACTCCATCAAGACTACAAAAATATGAGGATGAGTCTCTTTAGTTTTACTCTGTGTAGTCTCATATCTTTTATGAGATCAGTTATGTATTGTGATCACTTACATGTTTATATGCAAATATCCACAGGAATACACAACCAATGTTGCCTGAATGGAACGAATGGTTGTCTGATAACCTTATTTTTCTAAACTGTAGTCTGTTCTTTTATGTGACATATTAAAAAGTTCAATGGTTTTAAATTCTAAATTTGATTTCTGGTCTGTAATATAAATGCAAAATTTGTGGAATGAAAAAGTGAAAATTGATAGATTAAATTTTTGATTTTTTTACATTTCCTTTTTGACACATTTTAACAAATATTTCTGTATTGTTTCATTGACATTATGTTTGATTTTTGTGCTTGTACAAGTCATAATGTTTTCTGCATGAAAACATGTGTTAAGGTGCCATCAAAGATAATTTATAAAAACCCAAATTACAACAATAATATATTGAGTACCTAAATAAACAGAATTTAATTTTGTGAAATGCTCGTGTGTATATACACAAATTAAATATTAACTATGCTTTTAATTTTTCTAGTGGTCTGCTAGTATAGATATTTTACTAATATCAATCAGAAAATAACCGTGTTAATTTAATTGACAGTACCAAATTAATGCTAACATGGTGGCGGCACACCCCTGTATTCCTACTACTAACCAGGCTGAAAGGGAAAGATTGGGAGTTCAAGGCCAGCCTGGAAATATTGTCTCAAAAAATAAATGAATAAATGATTGAATAATAATGTAAAGAAATGCAGGCACGCATTTGCAACTTTATCTCTCTGCTTTGCATTACAAAGGAAAATTCCACAGAATTTTTAATTCATCCTTATGATTTCTATAGCATGGCTGGTTCAATATTTTAATAATAGAAATGACTTAAGTATTCATATAAACATGGTTTTATACTTCTGAATTGTTTCTCTGTTAGTGTATTATTGTTGTTAAGATTGGTAATTATTTTTTGCATTTATCTTTATACGATTATAAATCGTATTTCAGCTTTCTGTTCTGGACTGAATGGGGACAGGTGCCCTGCATTGGGAAAGCTCGCTTAGATGGCTCCGAGAAGGTTATCCTAGTAAGCCTGGGGATCATATGGCCCAATGGCATCTCCATTGACTATGAGGTCTGTTGCATTTATTTTAAATATTTCAAATGCCTTAAACTGTCAACTTACATCATTCCATTTTTAATGTTTCCATGTTTCCTTAATAAAACAATCAACAAACACTTGTCTTGTTGCTTCTCGATTGATCTTTAGGAAAATAAATTATACTGGTGTGACGCTCGCACAGACAAGATAGAGAGAATTGACCTTGAGACTGGAGGGAATCGAGAAATGGTGCTGTCAGGGAGCAATGTGGATATGTTTTCAGTTGCAGTCTTTGGGGCTTACATCTACTGGTCTGACAGGTAATTTATTTTTTCATAACTATTCGAGTCTCAAAATGTTATTTCAGTGCCAGTTACTTTGCCCTTGCAGGATTATCCAAACCTTAGCAAGGTCACAACAAGGATCTTACAAAGCTATATAGTTTCCACAGAAAAGGCAAGCACTCTTGTTATTCCAGGCTCAAGCATTTTCATATCACAGACTAAAGTTGGTTACTTTCCCTTCTGTTGGGCCATCTGTTATCCTCAGCTTAACTACCTGGCTTGGCTTTAATTTGTGAAAGAGTATTGATCATGTATATTCAACCTTTTTGCAGAGCACATGCCAACGGGTCAGTGAGAAGGGGCCACAAGAATGATGCCACTGAAATCGTAACCATGAGAACTAGCCTTGGAGTCAACCTGAAGGAGATCAAAATCTTTAACCGAGTAAGAGAGAAAGGTCAGCATCCTTAAAGGAATATAAATTAATATACATACTCTTATTGTTTTTTTCTTTCTTTAGAACATTTGCTGCACTTAAGAGTTAATGCTTACATGAGTTCATAACCTCCAAATCTTAGGGTTTTTTTCCCATGCATTTTTTCCTAAAATTCATAGAGTGATCCAAGGAAATGTTAAGTTCATGCATACAATCATTTTTCTAGGACAGCACAACACATGGACATGTTACATAAGGCACATCCCATGTCTTAAGTATTGGCTGAAAAATCTTGATAAAAGATAATGTTTTCACAAATAAAAATAAAGCTTAATTAGAATATTAGGATGAAAAATAAAAATGTTGACTAAGATTATTTCTTAATTCAAAGTATTATATTTTGTTTTTGTTTTCTATATATCTGTTCCAGGGCCTTGAACTCAGTCCTAGGCAGCTGTCCCTGAATTCATTTGCTCAAGGCTTGTGCTCTACCAGTTAGAGCCACAGCACCACTTTGGTTTTCTGGTGTTTAATTGCAGACAAGAGTCTCAGAAACTTTCTTGCTCACGCTTGCTTTGAAGTGTGATTCTCACACCTCAGCCTCCTGAGTAGCTAGAATTACAGGCATGAGCTAACAGAACCCAACTTATATTTCCTAATATAAAAGTTGTCATGGCTACAGAAGATGATGTTTCTAATATATATTATTCCTGAATCATTACTTTATTAAATATGTATTCTGATATTGGGATGCAGTTATTTGAGTATTTAAAAAATTCAAAATAGCCAGGTGCCAGTGGCTCATACCACTAATACTAGCTACTCAGGAGTCTGAGATCAGAGGATTGCAGTTCAAACCCAGCCCTGGCAGGAAAGTCCATGAGATTCTTATCGCCAATAAAGCACCAGAAAACCTGAAGTGGCACTGTAGCTTAAATGGTAGAGTGCTAGCCTTGAGCTGAAAAGCTGAGGGACAACGCCCAAGCCCAGAGTTCAAGCCCCATGATGAAAACAAAAATTCTTTACAAGATTCTTTGGGTAATAATTCTACTGATGGTGGTAATAAATTCATAAGGATTTTACTTTATGAAGAAATCTTAGGTATAAGCTAAAACCACTCAAAATTTAAGTAAATTGATAAAAAAGTATATATATATATGTATATATATATGTGTGTATATATATATATCTATATGTAAATGTATGTCTGTATATACATATGTATGAATGAAAATAGGCATATTAGAGTACAAATGTCTTGAAAGTTTGCACATTTTAGAGAAAAAACAAAGCAGTACACCTATATTTTAATGATAAATTGACAGAATAGAATTGATAGATAAATAGAAAAAAATAGATAGTTATGTAGAGCTATCCATGCATAGATATTTGGTGAATTCACTATGTTTTTAGTGAGCTGGTTACTTTTCCCAAAGATTGTTATATATCTAGGTATGTACCAAATTATTAAAGGAAAATTATAGTGATTGTGAGGAAATAGAATGGATTTCATTTCTTTACAGAAAAACTTCTGGTGTGTGTGTGTGTGTGTGTGTGTGTGTGTGTGTGTGTGTGTGTGTGCCCATTCTAGAAATTCAACTCAGGGCCTGGGTATTCTTTGAGCTTTGTAGCTCAAAGCTATTACTTTATCATTTCATCCATTTATGGTGTTTTTGGTCTTTAATTGGAGAGAAGAGTCTCAATTGACTTTCCTGCCGTGGCTGGCTTCAAACTGAGAGTCTCTGATCTCAGCCTCCAGAGAAGCTAAGATTGCAGGGTTGAACCAACATCCCTCAGCTAACTTCTGTGATTTTTTTTTTGTTGTTGTTCACCATGGGGCTTGAACTCTGGGCCTGCCCACTGTCCTGGAGCTCTTCAGCTCAAAGCTAGCGCTCTACCACTTGAGTCACAGTGCCACTTCCAGCTTTTTTCTGCTTATGTGGTGCTGAGGAATCAAACCCAGGGCTTCATGCATGTGAGGCAGCACTCTACCACTGAGCCAACTTCCCAGCCCCAACTTGTGTGATTTTTAAAAATAATTTTTAGTGTTGTTTATTGATTTTTCTAAAATAAAAGTCAGAATACTAAATATTAGTCAATATTAAATTCCAATATTTCTTCATGGAAAAATCTATTTGAAAATCAAAGTAGAAACAAACATGTGCATTTGTGTATGCTTTTTTCCCCCTTCCTTAGGGACCAATGTTTGTGCCAAAGACAATGGTGGCTGTAAGCAACTCTGCCTTTATCGAGGAAATTACCAGAGAACTTGTGCGTGTGCCCATGGATATTTGGCAGAGGATGGAGTTACTTGCTTAAGGCATGAAGGCTATTTGCTCTATTCAGGGAGAACAATATTAAAAAGTATACATCTTTCTGATGAAACCAATTTAAATTCCCCAATAAGGCCATATGAAAATCCACACTACTTCAAGAACGTCATTGCCTTGGCTTTTGACTATAGCCAGAAAAAGAAAGGTACCAACCGAATCTTTTACAGTGATGCACACTTTGGAAATATACAGCTTATTAAAGATAACTGGGAAGACAGACAAGTAATTGTTGAAAGTAAGTACAACAATTTGATTTTAAGTAGTTTTATGGAAATGAGAACCATTTGGATTATTAGAGAAATAATAATGGAGATTGTATTTGGCAATCATGATCTCTTAGAGTTTCTGTTTCAAAATGAGTATGTCTATATCTTCTGGATATCCAAAATGACAAAGAAGCAATTAACTGGTAGCATAAGCTTGCAATGTATTATGAAAGTTAACGTTTGACAGTGTTTATTACAAATAATGAAATAGAATTCTTGGAAAGTAATTTTTCAATATAAAACTATGACGATTGTACAATGGAAGAAATCATACTTTTAAGAATAGATGACTCACAGTTATGTTAATCATATTTTCTTAGACAACTGTCTAGCATTATCATTTAAGTGTATATACACACACATACAAACACAAAAAGGTGTGTGAGCCATTCACTATAGGTGTGAGCCACTCAATAACCAGCGTACTTATATTTTTTAATATGAGTTTAATGAGGAAATGTTATTATAGAAGTTATTGAATTAAATTTAAATAATTTAGTTTTAATTTCAAAGTCTCGCATTGTATAGTATTCCTCCCCCCCCTTTTTTTTTTTGTCGGTCGTGGGTCGTGGATGCTGTCTCTGAGCTCTTCAGCTAAAGGCCAGCACTCTAGCACTTGAGCCACAGGGCCATTTCCGTCTTTTTCTGTTTATGTAGTGCTGAGGAATCGAACCCAGGGCCTAATGCATGCAAGGGAAGCGCTCTACCACTGAGCCACCTTGCCAGACCTCAACCTCCTTCTTATCATGTACCGTGTTAAAGGCCATTATTTTCCTTTTTCCTGCTCTTCCCCCTCCCTTTATGTGATTTCCATATATTCCCCACTTTTACTTCAACTATTTGAAATCTGTTTTTGTTGGTGGTGGTGGTTGTGGTTGTGGGGCCTGAACTCTGGGCCTAGCCGCTGTTCCTCAGATCTTCAGTGCAAGGCTGATTTACCTCTTACAGCCACAGCATCACTTCCGGCTTTTTCTGCTTATGTGGTGATGATGAATTGAACCAAGGGCCTCATGCATGCAAGGCAAGCACTCTACCACTGAGCCACCTTCCCAGCCCCCTTTGAGTTATTTTTTAAATGTAATGTACGGTATAAATTTGTGTTCAATAGTATAGAATTAAAATGAAGGTCATTCTTATTGCTATTACTATCATTCCCATTATCTTACCCATAATTGACAGTTGCCTTTGCCTGGAGCCTTCTATATATACTCCCAAGAATGTATATATCATCTTTAATTATAAAACATATTTCTAAATGTACTATTATTCATCTAGGTGCTTTTGTCACTTATGTATATTATATGTAGCAAAGCTTTTATGTCAGTGCAAATAGATCTATCATATTCTTTTCTAAGTGTATACTGTATTTAATTCTGTACTCAGGTTACATGTTTTATTTAGTCATTTTCTTTTTGATAAATATTGATTAGTTCTGGTGATTCGTTGTGTCATCTGTGTATAAACATATTCATTCAACCATGCAAGTATTTCCAAATCCTAGAAATTTAGAAGATTTACCATTCTAATTATGAGTATTTGTTTATTTCTTACAGCTATTCAGACAAAAATACATATCCACTTTCACTTTCATTAAGTATATAGGAAAATATCTCTTTTACAGGTTTTTTTAAGTTATGGACTTATTATACAAACAGGCTTTGAACTTCCAATCCCTCTACCTCAGCCTCCACCCTATGATAAAATTGTTATTCTTAGCATTTCTTGGCATTGTGGCATTGAACTATATTAGTAGTCACTGTAGTTTTCACTGTCACTTCTCAACAAGGCAGGGGGAGGAAACAACAGTTTTACTTAAGAATATTACTGTGAAAAATAAAATTACTATATTTATGAATCTCCACCCTTCAGAACAGTTCTCTTTAATATTCTGCATGAGGAAACAGACAATATACACAAGTACCTTCTGAAGGAAACTATAAGTGTGAATGAGTGTTTGAACTTATTTCTTTTAGAAGCAACAATTTTTATATGAAATAATGACGAACACAAACACTGTCATTAAACAAGTCTGGACATATAGTAGACATTTACTAAGGAATAAGCAATGTGTTCTCTATTTCAATGAAAATAACCTATTTTATGTGTTACAAGTAATAAAATGTTATGCTTTTAATGAAAATAATTATTTAGAAGAATTTATTCATCACAATATATTTGACAGCTTCCAATAGTTTAAGATTTTTATGATTCAATGTATATTGATGTTAACTGGTGGAATTTGAGGGGATACAGCATAATAAAGATTAGCTTATATCTGGAAACCGACCATTCATAGATAAATAATCCATTCAAAGATCAAAATATGTCAGTAGATATGAATGTGATATAATATGAAAATTTCATTATGTTAGCAGTTTGTACATTAGAATTAACCTTCAAGTGTTTGACATGTGTGTTGGTGAGTTAATTGAACCAACCATCAAAGATAAGATAGAGAAGATTCAATAGTTGAGAATATAACTATCTTCTAGTAAGGTGTAAATGCTTAAATAGAGGCTACTTTCCTTAGAAGACTTTGTTCACACTGACACATTCACTATTCTAAGTTTTAAAGAAATTGGTAAATATTCAAAATGCTTTTAAATTATAATGCCTAATATGGCAAATAACTAGAGTCCACAGACACAAATATTTTGGTGTCTTCAAGAATATATAAAATTTATTCAAAAGCGAAAACTACATTGGGAATCTTAGCTCTGGAAATTTTGGTGCAAAAACTGAATAAAGCACCTGACAGACAAGGACTGATATAATTAAGGAGCCTGTACATAGAAGGTTTGAGATTAAGCTGGTCGGGTGGAATCTAATATTAAAAACTTGATTTTCCAATGATTGTATTCTACAGTTAAAAAAATTAACTTAACCTATAGAAGATGGAGATCTGGCTCAAGTACAGAGTACAAAGCCCTGAGTTAAAAAAAAAAAAAAGTAACAAGATAAGTCTTTTGTCATTTGATTAAGTATAAAGGTTGTCTGAAGTCAGAAATTCCAGAGGAATTTTACTTTGTTTTTAATCATTTTTCAACAGTGATGAAATAATCTCAAAGGTACTAATCAAATATTAAACAATCCACATGCATTCTAATCCTCTCAGCCATTATCATAGCAAGTAAAATTAATAACCCTATAGTGACCAGGTAACCTACATGTGCAGGAAAGAAATGAGAGAAATAAAAATGGAGAGTGGAGCTTGGCAACACAGATCCCACTTTTCTGTGATATTCTATGAGCTTCTTAGAATCGGTTTTCTCACTACTAAAATAGGAAAACAACTCATAATTATTGAGAATATTTTACAAGAGCATTTATATATGTATATATAAATCTCAACACTGTATGTCAGATAAAAGTGTCTCCTCACTATCTCAAGATAGAAAGTAGGATATCCATGTTTCACACTGATGATCAAGTATCAAAAATATAGCAAGTGCCCTCAAAATCTTGGATATTTTTTATTAGATGCTATCTGCTTTTACTAGTTCTTTTTTAATAGCTCATCTAAGTGATCAGAGAATCAAACGATAACAAGACATATCCGTTGTTAAATGAAAATTACTTTCCAAAAAAAAGAACACACACATATAAAGAACTTACAAATAACCATTATTTTAATTTAAAATTTTACATTACTATGGATGCAGATCATCAAGGATAAACTTGGTTTGTCCTCAATTATTTCTACATGTGCATTGCGTGACATATAATCAGAAACCATTACTATAATTATAGATAAGAAGTAGTGTATTACAGTCTAACTAGAAATTAAAAATGGAAATGACTATACATAATTTAGGTGAAACTTTATAAATATTTTCCTTCTATCGCCTATTCCTACCCAGAAGTTGTTTAACCATTGTAATACTACCCCTGAAATTTGTGGGACAATTTATAGTTTCACTTGCTAGACACCCAACCCCAATAAAAGCAAAACAAAATAAATATAAAATGAAATAAAGCAGCAAAGAAAATAGTTATTGAAAATGTCACACAACAACAATTTTTATATTCAATTTTAAGATTTATGTAAATGTTTTTGCTTTGAGGGTTAAAATAAAGGATGACAAGGACCATTAAAGGCAATTCAATATATTATATTATATATATATATATATATATATATAAAATGTGCTTACAATATGCCACAGATTATTAGGTATGGTTAAATTAAGTGTAATTATCTTCTTTCTTACCCTTGGTTATTCACAGTACGAACATATGAAAATTCATTGGGTCACATTTTTTATATGTAGAGACAAGAGCTATGGCTATGATACTGTTGCTAACTTTGAGGACATCTTTGACTCTCACATACATAGTAGTCATTGATATAACATACTTTTGAAAGGTAAATCAAAGAGACTGCTAATCTAAAGAAACAAAATAGACTTTTCTATGAATAATAAACAGAAATTCACAGCAGAAAGAATGGAGAAACATCAGATTTGGGGCTCTCATATTATATACTTCAGAGCTACTCTAGGATTTAAACCACGGACTTGAGCAAGGTTTTTGAATAGAGTGAGTAACTGCTAGAAAGTTACTATATACATATATATATATACTATATATATATATATATATATATACTATATATATCTATCTATATATATATACTATATATATATATATGTGTGTGTGTGTGTGTGTGCATATATATATATATATATATATATATATATATATATATATATATATCTCCTATGGAACAAAACCACAACTGAATCGCGAAAGATAAAGCTACAATTCAAGGGCCAGCCATCAAATTAAAACAATTATGACCCCACAGAGAGACAAAAAAGCTGGAAGAGAGATTTTTAAATATCACATTTATTATCATTATTTTTGATCTGTAAATTCATCTTCCCCAACTATGGATTTTTCAGAAAGTCAGTTTTGAAAAATAAAACACCAATCCAAAAATTAAAATGAAAGGAATAAATCTGAATTT